CAGGGTGCAAAGCATAATTTTTAATAGGTGATAGAAATTTACCAATTCATTCCCTGCAAGAGATTCATCAGCAGGTCCCAGGGAAGCAAGGAAGATGAAGATCTTGATGGTTTCTCATTGGATCTGGCATAGGCAATAGAATGACAGGTTTTCATCCACAGCTGTGTACAACCCCCATATCTATCATTGACACCCATCATCACCACAGGTGCCAGAAAAGCAATTTCACTGGAATCTCACAAATCTGAACCTAGAGTTTAATTCTGTGATGGATGGAAAAGAATTCACCATCAACTTTATATGTCAACATTTGTTTCCTTTTATAGAAGACTATGGGAATGGAAGGAACAAACCCACTGATCAGCATAGTTGCCCATCACAGGGAAGAAGCTGGAAGGTTGCAGGACAGAGCTACAGGTGTCTTAGGTAGCTGTTGTCTCAACTGTGAGTGTCTATTCTATCTTGAATGGTGCAAATTAGATGTTTAATAACATAAACTCTTTCACAATTATATTCTTTGTTATGGTAGGTCTGGTGTTACATATTCATGTTAACATTTCTTTATGTGTACGAACAACTTGTTCCCCTGAAAAAAGAACAGCTGTTCTTATTTGAAATTATAATAAATAAACATGATAGTTATATTTACTTAGAGCTTACTGTATATGTCAGGGATATTCTAAGTACTCTGCCTATATTAATTTAGTAATCCTCACTACAACCATATGAGATACCTACTATAATTCGCACTTTACATGGGAAAACTAAGGCACAAAAAATGTATAGGGGATTTGACCAAAATCACACAGTAAATACATGGTAGAATCAAGATTACAAGCTAGAAAATCTGTCCTCAGAATCTGTGATCTTAACTACTATCCCGCACTTCCCTGGTCCATTTTCTGGATACCAAGATAGCATAGAATTCTTGGTCAAGGATAGTGTAACTGAAATAAAGATAGCTTACTATGTATCAGGCACTGTGGAATGAGTTTACCTGCATCAACTCATCTAGTCCTCACAAACAACGCTATAAATGTTGTGCTATAATTCTCATTATTTGAAAAATGTAACGGAGGAGGCTTAGAGAAGTTAAGTGTTTTTCTTTAAGTTTCATAGCTGTTAAGTGGCCAATTCAGGGTTCAAACTCAAGCAGCCCCACTTGAGGGTCTATGACTTCAACAGTGGTGTCATAAATACAATAAGGGAGACAATCTGAGCTCTGCCAAACCGAGGGCTAACTCCGAGGAGTATTCACAATTTTAGAAAATACAAGAAATGAGTTCCTGGAGCAGAAATTGTCAGAATTAATAGGGCATGATAGAAGTATACAGCTGAGTGCCTCTCAGTGAGAAGTAACTCATACCTAAATACAGCCATACTCTACACCTATATAACAAATCGAAACGGCCTAGCAGGCCTATTTCTGTTAATGTAAATTATCACTCCTGAAGTAGTTTCTGCTTCTTTTACATTTGAAATATTGCTGCTATCAAGATAACTTGTTCAAAGGCAGCATTTCTCAACCTCAGCACTACACAAATGCTGCGCCAGATAATTCTTGGCTGTGGATACCTGTCCTGTTCATTGCAGGATGTTTATCAGCATCTCTGGTCTCTGGATGAAAATAGCAAGACCTATGTCCTCTAGTCATGACAACCAAGAATGTCTCCAGTCATTGCCATATGTCTCCTGGGAGGCAAAATTATCCCCAGTTGAGAGCCACAGCTCTAAGGGGAAAATAGGGAAACAGGGCTTTCCTTCTAATCCAATCTCCTTAAAAAAGTGTATTAAGGTATTGGACAATATACTCAGTAAATACAGAATGAATGGCACCCCAGACATGAAGCTGCCATTAATTGATCCCTAAAAATTAGGAAATATTAAGGCATAAGGGAAGAGGTAGTTTTGCTTTAAAATAAAAAGTTCAAAATTGCTTACTTTTTAAGGTTTTCACTGGAAATTAAAGTTACTAAAAGTACCTAATGAATTCTCACTAATACATGTAATTCTATCTATATGCAGAGTATACAAAAGGAAAATTAAGATGTATTTTTAATGAAAAAAGGATAAGAAAGGCATAAAATGTTTCCTTTTATTTAAAAAGAATAATTTTAAGAATACTTTCAAAATGTGGATTTAAAAATAAAACAAGGCAGGAAGGAACTAGTGAATAGGAAAGATGCACAGTAAAAAAAAAAAGCTAAAAAAGCTGTATTTTTATAAGAAAAAAATTTTAAAGAGTTTTTTTTTTCTGGTATGAGAAATAATCTTATTCAGTCAAAATGATAAGTAAAAAAAGTAAAGTTTGCCCTAGGTAGAATGATTGGTTGTTTTTGTATGAAAAAGATTGTAGGGCAAAAATTACATTTTGAGAAAGTGGTAAAAGGCTTGAGGAAGTCGTAGAAGTTCTGAAAAGACTCATAAAAGATTTGTGAAAAATAAATATTATAAAAACAATTTTGTTTGTGATCAAGTTGGATACAATTTGAAGAATATTGCTTTTAAGTTCTTTCTAAATTGAATTTGATATCAAAAGTACACTGATGCAAATCTATAATTTAGTCTCCTGTTTTAAAATAAGATGTTCTTGAAGTTGATTGCTTTTAGTAAAAAAGTTTAAGAGACTTTTTTTTTTGGTAAGACAGAGTGAGACTTGCCTAGGCTGGAATGTAGTGGCAGGATCACAGCTCACTGCAGCATCATCTTCCCAGGCTCAGTTGATTCTCCCACCTCAGGCTCCCAACTAGCTGGGACTACAGGCATGCACCACCACAAGCTATTGACTTTTGTAATTTTGTAGAGATGGAGTTTTGCCCAGGCTGGTCTGAAACTCCTGAGCTCAAGCAAGCATTCCACCCACCTTGGCCTACCAAAGTGCTGGGATTACAGGCATCAGCCCTTGTGCCTGGCCCAGGAAACAAAGATTCTGTGTCTTACAAAAAAATAATTTTCTGTATTTCATGTTGTCTTTGTTAGGTTTGTTAGGTTTTTGATTACTTAAAAACATTGAGCCTTAAATGAGTTAAGGGTGTTTGGTATTTTTTTCAACTTTGCAACTTTATTTAATTTTCTTTATAATCATTTAATTGCCACTTTAGGTAAATGGATAAGTATTCATTGTTTCACAGTGATTTGAAAACTTATTTTGATCAGATATTCTAAATCAACACTTATAACTAAATTCATTAAAATCAAATTCAAAATTAAGTCTTTAGAATGAAATTTGTTTTAATAATATTTATCTATTATGATCTCATGATCTGGTAAAAGAAATTCCTCACCACAACCACATTTTCCCAAAACCACATTTTTATGAGACTGGAAACATCATCATCTCAGAAAGCACCCTAAAATGCCGAAAGAAAAATTCACCGTGCTTGGTAATACAATCTTATCATCCTTGCACTAAGAAGATACTGTGTGTATGAGTGTGAGTTTGAGTGTGTATGTGTGTGTGTGTGTGCATTTTCTCATGGAGACTCATCCACATGAAATAGCTTCTCTTTGGATTGCATTACTAAGAGGCAGTGGGTTACTAGTGGAGCTCATAGGCACTTCTGGGGAGTGACTAGAAATGTCAGACCACTCAATCTGCCTCAGATATAGCAGATAGGGTTGTTTATTTCAAGACTTTCTATGATTTCAGAATTAAATATAAAAAAGCCCAGAGACCCAATTATAAAATGCTCTATCTACAATTCAGTAAATAATCTAAGTACAAAATATGAAGAGATATGTGTCTGATGAATCAAAAGGAGATGTGGAATATCAATCACTTTTCCAGGCTGGATCTGCTTGATCTCTTCAAACTGTTTTACTTTATTCCCTGTGTTATTCAGGGTTCTCTCTTTCATTTTATCATATGAATTGCAATTAGGCAACAATTATTTATTAGCAATCAAATGTTGGCTAATGCATCCTTTTGTCTCCACTGGCCAGGGGTGGATTTGAGGATCACCCTAATTGGCCTGTTTGGGAAAGCACTGGAGGTGTGTATGTGAGAGGGTAGGGTTTGTATGAGTGGGGATGTGGGAATCCCTGTTCCTGATTTGTACAATCTTGAGCACATCAGGTCAGAAAGTGAATCCTTGAGACTGTGGACAGTTGGCCACGTGGAGGTGCTGTGGCTCCACAATGCTGCAGGGAAACCTGGAGAGGGGTGGGAGGTGACCCAGGCGAGGAGGGCTGAAAGGAAGCCTGGTTGTCTGCTGGCATCAGCGGGGCGATTTGAGTTCAGAGTGGATCCTGAGTTAAACAGACTCCTCGCTGCCGGAGCAGAGTAGGGTTGCCAAAGGCACCAAAGCATGTTTACACATCCTTCAATCTTCTCCCACTTCGTGAATACAAAATCTTCTGAATGGAAATAGAGCATCTCCCTGTGACCCTAGAGACACCAGATAGATGTAGTTCTGGGTGAACATTTCATCCACATTCCCAACGAGCCTCCTCTTTTCTTTATGGGAAGTACAGTCACTCAGGGGACTTAGATGATGCAGTGTTCATGGCTTCACCTGAAGCAAAGGGAAAAATCATACCCATGAGAACACACAGCAGCCTGAGCTTGGATGGTGAGGGTCCCATCAGGCGGAATGAGTCGCTACGGCATAAAACAAGTCTTCAAATGGTAATGACTTTGAACCCACAACTTTGAAACCTTTCTGGGTGTCAGTTGACTCTTAACCAAGGGTATCTCTGTAGGCTGAAATATAAACATCCAGAGGTTAAACAAAGAGGAAAATAATTCAACTTGGAGTTAGTTAAATTTTGTGCAGAGAAGTCATAAAAGTCACTAGGACTGCTATGACAATGTCCTTTAGACTACAGAAATATTCATAAATGTTAAAACAGCATTCAAATGAAGAATTTAGAATAATAGGAGTAAAATACACATAGAACAAATTCCCCTACGAAAATCTGGGAAGGAGAGTACAAATTTTAAGATTTCTTTCAAAACATGTCTATAATTTTTTCCCAATCCAAGCTTGTCAACTCTCTCTATTATAAATGATTTGTTTCTGTGGGGAAGAGAAGGGGCGTGGCAGGTTAGCTCTGCAGTTCACCCATTTAGCAGGGCCGTGACATCATCAAGTCACTGAGAGCCCAACTTCAGTTTGCCCACAGCAGGGCTGGGAGACACAAGATCCTACCCTGGAGCTGAAATGGGCACCAGGCTCTTCTATGTGGCCCTTTGTCTTCTGTGGACAGGTGAGGACTGGTCACAGGAGGGCCTCCTTCCCTGGAATTCCCAAGGCCTCCATGCAAGCTTTTCTGTTGGGATGACATCAGTGTCTGTTGCTCTCTATTATAGGACATGGGGATGCTGGAATCACTCAGAGCCCAAGACACAAGGTCACAGAGAGAGGAAGGCAGGTGACCTTGAAGTGTCGCCAGACTTGGAACCACAACTATATGTACTGGTATCGACAAGACCTGGGGCACGGGCTGAGGCTGATCCATTACTCAGTTGCTGCTGATAACACAGAGAAAGGAGAAGTCCCTGATGGCTACGTTGTCTCTAGATCAAACCCAGAGGATTTCCCCCTCACTCTGGAGTCAGCTACCAACTCCCAGTCATCTGTGTACTTCTGTGCCAGCAGTGACTACACAGTGCTGCACAGCTGCCTCCTCTCTGCTCATAAAGGGCAGTTAGAAACGCTGAGGTTGCCTATGCTCCCAAGTCTGGGCTCCATCCCAGGAAGTCTCGGCCCCCATAGGAGTCATAGAGCCCTGGCCAGCCTGGGGTCTTTGGCAGGGGCCATATGGCCCTTAGTGCTGTGGCTCTGTTCCTACCCCTGTCTCAGACCATCTGGAGTTTGCCCCAACGCCCTGACCTTGCCGGGTCTTTCTTCTGCAGCTCCCCTTTCCTGCTTGCAGAATAGAAAAGATATTTTGTTGATATTCCTAATTCCCTTCATAATTTCAAAGCCAACATATTCTTCTCTCCCTTATGGAATCAGTGACTTCTTCATATAAACCTTACTCTATCCTCTACTACCCTTCAACTCACAGACACAAACCTTCCCCCATGTGGTCTCTGCTCTGGCTGCCTTTCTTCTAAGGGCAATTGCCCTACAAGGTCCTCTATCATTTGCCCTTCCCTGTCTCTCCATCAACGTTTTGCATCAAGTTTCCCCTGGCTCTCAACTCCAGCCACACTCCCTTACGTTCAGTTATATCTTCAAAGGTGTAGCATTGTTTTCCATCCTGGGGCATGTTTATGAAGAATAGGTTATTTCTACTTCACTAAGCATATGTACTTCTGACCTATTCCCAGGCCTGTTCTTCATTCCTTACATAAAAGTCTGTTTCAGGTACATTTACTCTTAGCTGTAAAAAGCAAAACAAATTTTACTAGAAAAAAATTAAGAAGTATAGTTTTAGTGCTCAATTGAGGAATTAGTTGTTTAGATGACTCAGAAGAAAACCACAAGCCATAAAAATATTTGTAACTCGGCCGGGCACGGTGGCTCAGGCCTGTAATCCCAGCACTTTGGGAGGCCGAGGCAGGCACCACTGCACTCCAGCCTGGTGATAGAGCAATAATCTATCTCAAAAAAAAATTGTAACTCCAGTTGCATTAAACTATACTTTTGAACACCAAAACATACCATAAGAAATGAAATGTTAAACCACAGCATGGAAAAAAAAATGAGGATGGCATGCAGATAGTGAAAAATCAGTGTGACAGAGAAGAGTCAGGCTCACCAAACACCCAGTGGTTCCTCCATGCTTCCTGGCCTCATTTGCAGTTTGAGGGTTGGGAGCATGTCTCCAGGTTCTGAATAGTGGGATGCAAATAAAAATGATGTCAGCCCAGTTTCAAGCCTGGCCCTTAAAAACATCCTGTGGCTCTGTATTGAGGGCCCCTAAATATACTCCCATGTTTAGAGATTTGGTATATGGCATAGAGCTGTACTCACAGCTAAGATTTTTTAACATGTCACATTAAGTTTTCAGCAGCAGATCATACGGAGAAAACACACAGGTGGAATCTGGAGGAATCTGGAAGAATTCACACTCAGGCCTCCTTATGTTCTCTTTCTCCCAGGAGGGGTCACACAGGACTCTGTCTTCACTGAGCAGCAAAATGCATTAAACATGAGCAGTGATTCTGACAAGTGAGTCCATTAGAGACTCAGCACTTAAGAGGCTTTAGAGGAGGCTGGTCACATAAGCAGAAACTGCCTAGCATTAACCTAAAATCCAGACCCCAGAAGGAAATCTGGTGTTCAGTAGAACACTATTTGCAACACCAGTCTAGGCCCAATGAGCTGCTCCTCTCAGTTAGGAGAAACTTTCTCAGTGCAGGGCTCTGCTTACCAGCCAAGTTGCCAAAGATCAGCCAAAGTTCAATCTTGCAAGCAGGGCTTTCTAAGCACAGCAGTCTCAAACCTGCTGTCAGTTCTTTTCTGCACACTCTTCAACTCTCTTTTCCCATGTCTTGATGAATCTGGGAGCTTCCTGGTACAGATTATAAACTGGAAGCAACTTGGTTCCCTGGGTCATAATCTGGTGGATAGCCATGGAAAAAAGTTGCTCATGCCCAACTGGATTTTGTGGTCATGGGAGGTAAGACTTGATAGAGGTTAGCCACTGAGACTTTTAGGATTTGCTTTGTTTTTATTTTCCATAGCATAGCTGTCCTTTTCTAGTAAAGTTAGTATGTAAATGAGTAAAAAAATTATTGTTAAGAAGAAAACAGCCCAATAAAAATGGAAAAACTGAAGCTGAATAGGCGATTCACAAAAGTGAACATAAATTACCACTAAACACGAGAATAATTTTTCAACCTTACTTATAATCAGAATATAGCAACCTGAAATAAGTTAAAATTCAAAAATTAGTAGATTGGAAACTTTGCAAAGGAGTAACAGTCTTAAATTTGAGTAGACATTTGGACTGTATGAAAACTGTTTATATATCCACTACAGGAGATAATGACAACTATATCAGAAAACCAGCTGTGGGATATATTGTGACTAATAGCTTTTCTTGAGAAATTATCAGTGTATATACATCATTTGGGTTCCTTTTCTTGCTTTTAGGTTCAATCATGGAGAATTCAACTTTAAGGATTTATTTTTTCTATTGTAAGGGTAGTTTTGTTTTTTTAAATCTTTTTAAAAAAGTGGGCTGGGCGAGGTGGTTCACACCTGTAATCCTAGCTACTCGGGAGGCTGAGGCAGAAGAATTGCTTGAACCTGGGAGATGGAGGTTGCGGTGAACCAAGATTGTGCCACTGCACTCCAGCCTGGACAACAGGGCATGACTCCATTCCAAAAAAAAAAAAAAGGCGATGGGGGTAAAATATGTGTAACATATAATTTTGTCACTTTATTTTTAAATTGTACAATTCAGTGGCATTAAGTACATTCACTATATTTTGGAACTGTCACCATTATATGTTTCCAAATTTTTTCTCATTGCCTCAAACAGAAACTCGATACCCATTAAGGAATAACTCCACATACCCCCTCTCTCTGCTAACCTAATATAATTTCTTTCGGAATGAATTTCCCTATTGCAGATTATTTATGTGACGGCTGTACTAGGGATCCCTTGAATGTGATATGTTTCTTATCACTTTCTTCTTTCAGTATTCTTTGTCTTTGATTTTTGATAATTTGATTATATTGTGATACAGTTGGCTGTGTCCCCATCCAAATCTCATCTTGAACCCCGTGGGAGGAGACTGAATTATGGGGATGGATCTTTCCTGCTATCTCATGATACTGAATGAGTCTCATGAGATCTGATGGTTTTAAAACGGGAGTTTCCCTGCACAAGCTCTGTCTTTGCCTGTTGCCATCCAAGTAAGACATGACTTGCTCCTCCTTGCCTTCTGCCACTATTGTGAGGCCTCCCCAGCCATGTGGAACTGTAAGTCCATTAAGCCTCTTTTTCTTCGTAGTCTCTGGTATGTCTTTATCAGGAGCATGAAAACGATCTAATACATATTGTGTCTTAGGGAACTCCTTTTTGGGTTGAATTTGATTGGCAACCTCTGAGCTTTCTGTACCTGAATACTGCTGATTTTATCCAGATTTAAGAAATTTTTAACCATTTTTTTATATATGCTTTGGGACTGGAACAGGACATGTACATTGTCCCATCCATCACTCCACGGATCACTACACAGTTACAGAAGGTAAAGGGCACATTCGCAATGAAGAGCTCTGGTGTCAGTTACCTCAAATTTGCACTGGCAAAACAACATAAAAATGACATTCTGCATTCTTGTTATTGACCAGATAGCATAGACAATACACATCATCTATGGTGCATATTTGCGAAGTAATTAACCTCTAATAGTATAGAAATTCTTGTTGTGGGTCATTTTACAAGTAAGCTGACCTGGACACTTCAAAAACTTGTGATCATGAAAGACAGGAATTATAACAAGTGGGTGGAAGAGTTGTATAATTTAAAAGCAACTAAGGAGATCTGACGACCTCATGAAATATGGGATCTTTGACTTTTTTTCTAGAGGAAAAGTGAATTAAAACCAAGAGACATGTTGAAACAACTGGAGAAATTCGAATGTGAAGTGTGTAGTAGATAATGATGCTATATGAATGCAAATTTTTTGAGTGTAATAGTGACATTTGTGGTTATGTAAGATAATGCCAATTTTTTGGGAGACTTGTTTAATTACTAAGGATAAAATGTATCAGAAGCTGAAGGCAAAATATAGAGAGAGATAAAGCAAAAGTCACAAAATGTACAATCAGTACACAGATATACATTTCAATATTCTGTTTGTTTCATTATTATCTCATTTTTTCCATAGATGCTCAGTTTTAAAAAATAATTTAAGAAAAATATTAATAGACAAAAATAAAATGTTGGTGTTATTTCAGAATATTAATGTTGGATATTTCTTATATTCATTTTCAATATCTTTGAAATATTATGTCATTACCATAAAATAAATATATCCAATAAGGTATCTTTTAGCCTATAGTATACTTTTAAAAATAGGAGACAGGCTATGATTTTTAAGACAGTATCAAAAGAAGACAATGGAATTTCCAGTCTGAGAACAAGGCAACTTGATATCTCTGAGACCAGTGCAAAACTTAGCTAGCACTGCATGTCAAGAGGTCTTTTAGCAAATATATAAGACTGTTTTCTCTGTGTCAAGAGATTCTGAGCATTCCACAGTTTGGCTGAAAACTCAAGAACTTTCAAAGGTGAGTAAATGTAAAGAAAAGAGTAGTGATATTCCAAAGTTAGGGCTGGTCAATATGTATTTGTGCAACAAATACAAAGGAGCAAGACTGTCTTAGTCTATCCCCTGTTGCTATAACACAATACCCAAGTCTGGGGAAAGTTATAAAGAAATTTATAAGGAAAAGGGGTTTATTTGACTTGCAATTCTGGAGGCTGGAAAGGCCAGGAGGACATCAGCACCTGCTGGGCTTCTTTTGAGGGCTTCATGCTGCATCACAACATGGAAGAGAAGCGGAAGACTGAGCAGGCCCATGCAGGGAGAGCCAGGATGAGCAAGACACTCACTTTATACCAGCCTGCTTTTATCTAGATCCCCGAGAGAGAGAACAGACTCCTGGCATTAATCTTTCATGAAGGACTTACCCTCATGACCCAATAACTTCTATAAGGCTCACACTTACAACACTGCTACATTGAGAAACAAACTTTAACATGAGTTTTGGTGGGAACAAACCATATCTAAACTTTAGGAGGGGCTCTAGCAAGACAGTAAGAATAGATAGAACTGGGGAAAATTTTTCCTGGTTCCTCACAAACACTGTTCTATTGAAGATAGTATAGAAGTCCCGCCAGTATCTCTAAGCCACGAACAGAGGACCTGAGTCCAGTGACACTGAACCATTGGCCATCAGAAGGCACTGGGGTTTGAAGAGCTCAAATGTTTTTGAAACAGGGCTCAGTGCTGCCTAAGATGTTATGTATAAAGGTGTGCATCCTAGTATTTAATATCTTGTTTGCAGAATTGTGAGTAGCCAGTGGAATGTGAGATATTAAAAAAAAAAGCTTTATCTCCCATTAGTGCTGGTATGTTCTGTTCAGCAGCAAAATCTGAACTGTAGCACATCTTTGAGTGGAGAATGTTCTAAGCTTGCATGGGAGGTAGATGGAGGAGAACCAGGAGCCGGCCCAAAAGCCCAGAGACCTACGCAAAGGGAGAATGACTGCCTTCTCAGGAGAATTCAGAGAAATGTGAGCAATGCACCTGTATCCCACACCTTACCTATTCTAGTTATGCCCTGAACAATGCATATGATGATGTAGGGGAATATAGGAGAGGGGACAATTCTAGTTTATGCCAGATAGGCTATTCCAAATTGCGGGAAATTTGTAACACTACAAATATTCTTAACAAAAAACAGATTTCCCAGGGCTCTGGCCTTTTCTTCCCTGAGCAGCATGATGACCTGTTCCTGCCTTGATAAGGATTCTGTCATGGATTTCTCAGTCATGTTTCCCAGGAAGCAGGTGAGACCCAGGAACAATGAGGAATGCCATCCATGGACTTGGCATGCCTCCCTTGCAAGCACATCACATGTGGGTCCTGTGATTGATAGGTTTGTTAGATGGATAAGTCCTGTTTCCAGCCACCAGCCTCCATCCCCTGAATGCTGTTGTCACCCAGAACCATAACCCTGGTCACAAAGATGGAGCAGGTAGTGGCCCCTTAATGTGAAGAAATTTTCCATCCTGCTGTTATTACCTGGTGCTACATAAGTTGGACTCAAACCAGTAGCTGTTTACCTCAGTGACAGAGAATTAATGACAGAAGCAGATGGCTCTGGTAATTCTATACCCACAGGTATTCACCTGATAACCTTGACATATGTCCCCTAGGTTTTGGGGTTTTGGTGGAATATCTCTGAGCTTGTCTCACTGAACACATATGTCCCCGTTCCCACCTCTCTGGACATGCATCTCCTTGTGTTATTATCTTATGCTGACTCTAAGGGGTGCCATCACCTAACTCCTTTTATTTCTTATTACTCAGTTAATGAATAAAAGTGTGTTTGTGACTAATGTTGCCTCATTAGAAAAAAAAAGTCAGACAATGACTATAGTTCAACTGTAATTTACACTAGAGGTGTAGCTATAACGTTATTTTTAGATTTCAGCAAGTCTGTTTGATTTTGTATTTCTTACAATATATATTGATATTTTCAGGGATAGGAGAATTCCCCAACCATCTTAGGTAAAAAAAATCAGAACTTACTTTTATTACAGTTTATTACATTTATTATCCCAAAACCACAGGCAGAACCATGATGAAGGCTTTGCACGCAATGCATCAGGAAGACTGATAATGGCAAAGAGGAAACTGCTCATTGGTCTTCACTAAAAATGAACTCTTCCAACTCTGTGCTCAGGGTGTTATTTTAACCCTTTAGCTTACAGCATGTTGGGTAGTTCAACAAGCTTCTAGGATAAACTTGTATCAGTTAACTCAGCTTCTACACACATAGGACCAGGAAGATAGAGAACCTAGTAAAAGAGAAATGCCGGCTGGGGAAGGTGGCTCATGCCTGTAATCCCAGCACTTTAGGAGCCCGAGGCAGGTGGATCATGAGGTCAAGAGATCGAGACCATCCTGGCCGACATGGTAAAATCCTGTCTCCACTAAAAATACAAAAATTAGCTGGGCGTGGTAATACATACCTGTAGTCCCAGCTACTTGGGAGGCTGAAGCAGGAGAATCACTTGAGCCCGGGAGGTGGAGGTTGCAGTGAGCTGAGATCATGCCACTGTACTTTAGCCTGGCAACAGAAAGAGACTCCATCTAAGAAAAAAGAAAAGAAAGAAAGAAAGAAATGTCCAAAGAGAAGGATAATTGCTGATAAGACAAAGAGGTCACTAATTGATATCTCTATTTCGAGTTGTCTTCAACTAGAAACATCCAGCAGAGGATGGGCCTAGAGATGTAGTGAGAGACATAATCCCCCAAGCCCTAGAGATGTGACTGAGAACACTTGGATGAACTTACACAGTCTATGAATATGGTCAAGCAACTCCGTGCTCTGTTTTAGCTTATACTAATTGGTTTCTAAGAACGTAGGCATTTGTAGAGGCCATGATGTCACTGTGGGAACTGCCATGAGAGGACAAGGATGTCCCTCCTCCTCTGCTCCTGCTCACAGTGACTCTAATTGGGCAAAGCTCCCATCCTGTCCTGACCCTGCCATGGGCACCAGGCTCCTCTGCTGGGTGGCCCTCTGTCTCCTGGGAGCAGGTGAGTCCTAGGAACACCATGGCACATTGGATATCTCAGTGATTATTTCAACTATTTCCTTCTTTCTATTTTCAAATTTTGTCTTTTTCCTTCACAGAACTCACAGAAGCTGGAGTTGCCCAGTCCCCCAGATATAAGATCACAGAGAAAAGGCAGGCTGTGGCTTTTTGGTGTGATCCTGTATCTGGCCATGCTGGCCTTTACTGGTACCAGCAGATCCTGGGACAGGGCCCAAAGCTTCTGATTCAATATCACAATGAGGATGTAGTAGATGACTCACAGTTGCTTAAGGATCGATTTTCTGCAGAGAGGCTCAAAGGAGTAGATTCCATTCTCAAGATCCAGCCTGCAGAGCTTGGGGACTCAGCTGTGTATCTCTGTGCCAGCAGCTTAGCCACAGCGTTGCAGAGACACTTCCCTCCTGTGCAGAAAACTGCAGGGTTCCTCTCCTCTATCAGCTCACAGCAGCCTTTCCTTATTCCTCATCTTCCCAGGGAAGAAGTGAGTTTTCAGATATAGCTAGCATTCATATAGTGGGAGAAAATTAACTAATACTCCAGTTTCATTCTTTCTATTGTTTGCCAAATCTGGTGCTTTTTCAAAATGCATTAAGATCAGTAGGGAATTTTCTTTTCCTTACAGGGATGGCCTATAATTTGGAGGGGAGAGAGAATGGGTTAAATTCTGATTCAAGACAGTGTTGGCTGGTTTTTTGCTCTCCCATCTGAGCCAGGTTGTTGTTTATGGATATTAAACTGAATTATGTCTCCATCTGTCAGACTGTAATGTCCATCTCTCAGGTGGTTTCATCTTAGGTCATAACATTGTTTTATGTCCCTCCGACACCAAGAAGTTATGGTATCTCTTTTCCCCATAGCTCAATAAAGGGAAGTGCAAGTCCCCTGTGTCTTGACAAAGAGCACATTTGTGCTGTTCCTGCCTACTGGACACTAGGAGGCTCTGTGGCTCCATTGCTATCCAGAGTCTGTGGGGGAGGGGCTGGCATTGCTCCCTGGAGGATCCTTAATGGAAACCCTGGAGTTGGACCTGGATTCAGGGAGCTGGGTTGGAGGTGTCTGCAATGAAGTCTGAGAATAAAGGGATTAGAGACCAACCCTTTTGCCTCTAATGATGTGAAGATGGGTTTTGTTTTAAGCTGAGATTTGAATGAGGCTCTGAGTGGCAGGTGTGCTTGCAAGTGGATACACCTCTGAGCTCACTTAAGACATGGAGACACAAGGAGTTGGGGTGGTGCAGCACCCATGTTCTGGGGTGGGGAAAGCAGGGAAGCAGTTTCTGTGTCACAGGAGCCTCATACGGCCTGGCCCCAAACCAGCTCAGGCCAGCCCTACCTGTTCTGTTGAATGTAGAGGGAAGGACAGGTAGAATCGGAGGCACTACCCTGGACCATGTCAGAGGGACCTTGTCGCCAGGGAGCTTCAATCCCAGTGATGCCACTAACAGCATATACACTTATTAGCAAGGCTTAGGATGGAGGAGGACAGAGTTTTCTCCCCTAAGAACTTTTGCTCTAAGCAGGAAAATGCCCCGATCTAGTTCTAACTCTGTTTCTCCAGAAGCTTCTGTGTCCCTGGAAGAAGGTGGGGTCCGGGCGCATAAAAATTCTGTTTATTGGTTTCACCTGGCTTGATTTCAGGTTTTTCCATGTGATCGTGCATCTGACTCTACCAGTATGTTGTATCGGCTTTTACCTCTCCCTCCCATGAGTCCCATGGCTACTATAAGGTACCCAATTTCTATGGCTGCTGTAATGAATTACCACTAACTTGGTGGCTTACAATAACACAAGTATTACCTTACTGTTCTGCAGGTCAGAAGTCCAAAATGGATGTTACTGAGCTAAAATCCAGGTGTTGGCAGGGCTGTATTCCTCCCCAAAGCTCTAGGGGAACACTGTTTTTCACTGTTTTTTAGCTTCTAGAGGCCACCACCATTCCTTGGCTCATGGCCCCATTCAATCTTCAAAGCCAACAAGGACTGGCTGAGCCTTTGCTCACTCTGCATCACTCTGACGCTCACTCTTCGTCCTCCCTCTTCCACATTTTAGGACCCTTGTGATTATACTGGAGCCACCTGGAAAATCCAGGCCACTCTCCTCTATTAAGGTCAGTTGATTGGCAACCTCGCTTCACTTGGAACTTCAATTCCCCTCTGTCAGGTAATTTAACACATTCACAGGTTCCAGGGATTAGGCCTGGGCATGCCTGAAGGGCCATCACACTGCCTCCCAAACCTAGGCACCTGGTAACAGGCTGGAAAACACACTGGGGACCTTGAAAACAGATTGATGACCACCATTTTGCATTCTGGATCTAACACACACAACGAAGGGTTGGAGCCTGCAAGAAAACAGACACCACAGATCATACAAGCTTGTCTGTAAGCTGTTTGCTCCTTATGATCAGCAAGTGCCCTGGGGTGCAGGGGACTCAGCGGTATGCCTCTGTGCCAACAGCAAAAATGTGCCCTTAAACTACTCCTTGTTGTTACCAAATAAATAACCTAGTTGACCACTCCACAGAGCAGAGGCTTCTCTCAGCTCTGTACACTCTACACCCTGAGAGAAGTTCGTTAGTGAGATGCAAGACTGTTTTATAAGGAAAAGGCCAGGTGCAAAGAGTAAGAAATGCTGAGCTTTGCTAGAGGTAAAAATAAGATGTAAATCAACTTTGGAAGATTTAATTTCCAAATCTTTGTGAAAAAGACAGTCTTCTTTCTGATTTATCGTGTGCACAGAGAATGTAAGATATTCTGTGCTCTGGGCTTTGCAAACTTACTAGAGTTCAAGGATCAAAAAACTCAAGAGAGGCCTTTTACTACAAAGAAAAACTTTGAAATCTAATGAGCTTTCGGGACACCAACTCGGCTCTTTTCTCTCTAACAAGGCAGTTGACATGCTTGCTCTTCCTGGGTAACTCAAATGCTAACTTCTAACGCATTTAAGTTCATATAAAGGACTATGAGCACAGAGCCACCAGTGAGAGGAATAGGAGAGTTGGCCGAGAAGCTGGCTTGCCATAAGACAATGAGTTCATCTTTAAACAGTTGGAGTCTAAGGTGCAGATGGATGTAGTTGGCAGGCTCCTAGGTAAGGCATATTCTGGAGAAGGTACTATGAATCGATAATATCAAAACAAATCTACTGGGAGCATCTGCAAGTGTGCATCTGTATCTCAGATCAATTACAGTTGAGTTCAGTCCTGCCTGATTCATCTCCCAAAAATGTAACCTCCGCTTAGAGGAGTTTTCAAGTTGGGGGTGGTGGCCCATTCAGTGATGTCACTGACAGATGCACCTTGTGGGGTAAAATGTCCCAAAGTATCTTTTTTTTTTTTTTTTTGCTTATGTGCATAAGAACCCTGGTCTGGAATGTGCCACACCTGCTCTCACGCCACCATGGACTCCTGTACCCTCTGTGTGTCCATTTGTATCCTGATAGCCAGTGAGTCCTCACATATTTATTATTCTTCATGCTGGGCCTCTGTATAGAGGACTACTTCTATTTTCCTTATTCTGTTTCCTATTTTTGCCTTCTTTTATAGCATGCACAGATGCTGGCATTATCCAGTCACCCAAGCATGAGGTGACAGAAATGGGACAAGCAGTGACTCTGAGATGTGAGCCAATTTTAGGCCACAATCTCCTTTTCTGGTACAGACAGACCTTGGTGCAGGGACTGGAATTGCTGTGTTACTTCCGCAGCCGATCTATTATAGATGACGAACAGATGCCCAAGGATCGATTCTCAGCTGAGAGGCCTAATGGATCGTTCTCTACTCTGAAGATTCAACCTACAGAGCAGGAGGACTCCGCTGTGTACATCTGTGCAAGCCGCTTAGCCACAGCACTGCAGAATCACCCCCTCTCTGTGTAGAAACCCTGGTGCTTCCTCTTCTCCCCACAGCTCCCAGCAGTCCCGAGCAAAGTCTTTCCTGCTCCTCCCTCCTCACAAGAATATTTAAGTGGGTTTGGATCATGGCAAAGACAGAAGATGGTACAATTTTAACATACAAAATCTTGTGTAGGAGATAATGTAGAAAATGTGTTTTGCAGATTGTATATGGAGTCAGAACTCACACACAGGTAGGGTAAACCTTAATCATTGATACGGTAGGTTTCCCTGCCTTCTTCCATTCACCACCCTCCATCCATTCAGAAGTTGGGAGCTCTTGAGAATGGCTATGTCTTCAGAACTACTCTGCCCACTTCTCTCACTCTAAACTGTGAACAGAAATTTCCCCCTCAAGTGCTCTTTATTGTGAAATAAAGTTCTTTTCTATGATTGTGGAAATTTCTTTATTCTAATTTCAATGTAACATTTATATATGGATTTTTACATTACACTTAAAGAGATCTTCAATGTGGGTAATACAGGTGGTTTAATACATTAGAAGTAAGCTACCCCTCTTGGACTACCAGGATTCATGTGCTTCTATCTTGCATAAAGCATGCCAGGTGATGGCTAAAGGCCTGGTGCACTCACAAGACACTGATGAGATCTCCTCCACTGCCTGTTCTGGAACTAGCAATATGAATAAACACAGGGTGTCTAAAAGCACATGGGGCCGGTAGTTGTGGCTCATGCTTGTAATCTCAGCACTTTGGGAGGCTGAGGTGGGAGGACCACTTGAGTTGAGGAGTTCAAGACTAGGTTGGGAAACAGTGAGATTTTGTCTCTAAAAATCTATTTTAAAAAAAATTAGCCAGGTACGGCAGTCTTGGCTACTCAGGAGGCTGAGCTGAGAGGATCGCTTGAGTGCTGAAGGTGGAGGCTGCGGCGAGCCATGATCATTGCACTGCACTCCTGCCTGGGCAACAGAGTAAGACCCCTATTCACACACACACACAGATAAGTAATATAAAAAAACACACAGACCTGGCCAGTCTTACTTTGCCCTGTTTTCTCCCTGATGCTGTCTCCTGAACGCCCAAGTCTGCATTTTTTTTCTGGTGTATGCCACACATTTCCACACAGCACTTGCAATTCATTCTGAAGAGTTATAAAGTCTTTCTTCTATAGCAGTATTTACATACTGATTACTTCTTAACCCCTATCAGTGTATCATTGGCAAGTGTTGCAAAATATGCCTATATTTTGAGTGCCATAGGCAATCTGGGTTTCCCCGAGTCCTTCCACATGGGCAGATTTCACTTGTCGTTGTCCTAGTCTTGTCATTTAGAGGCCAAGATTTTCAGGATAAGAACGGTGCAGAATGTAATCCAGGATGCTTTTTAAAATTTAATGTAGATCGAGAGGCCTACTCTGTGTTTATATCTTGTTTTGGTGTCTTCCTTGCTCTTTGGGCTTCTCTCTGCTGTCTCCAGATCATTTTCCTTCCTCCTTTGAAGCCCAGCTCGTTTACACACAGGACATTAGAACATGACCCTTCACTGCTGCTCTTGCTGCTTTCTCTTCAGAACTCTTCTCATTCAGTGCTCCTGTCTGCTACTAATCCTGCCATCATTCTTAACGACTACTCATCACACAGACCATTGTTACATTGGTTTTGCTTCTCATTTTCTTAACCTTTTCACTCTTGAGGAGTTTTTTAACCTACAATCTTTTTAAGAGTTGCTTCCGTGTTTGCAGTAAATATCTACTGAATAAATGCATATCTTTCTCAGCTTCACTCTTTCTGCGGTTTGGGACTTTGTTGACATTTTATCCATTAATCCTAACATTGTATATCTGACAAGGAAGGGGTTAAAATCACATGTTTTGGATCAGTGAATCAATAAATAGGTTTAAAGAGGCGAGTGCAAAACAAAGTTGTTTAGAGCTGCTGTCCTGGGCCGGACGACAGATAGACGGTGTAAGAAATAGTAAAATCACCTGGTAATTTCAATTTAGCTTTAGAATCTTTGGCTGGAACATCTCCAGGGAAACCAAGGGATCAGAGCTGGAAAGAGAGAGAAAGAAACTAGGAGATGAGAACTGGCTAGGGTAGCATTCCCTAACCCAAGGTTTTCAAAGATAATATCGAGGTCCTCCATTTCTTTTTAATATTTTTAACAACCAAAGGAAATTACGCATGTGACCCAAGCTATACATAATGAGGAAATTGGCACATGTCTTTGCTGAGATGGAATAATATTGAAGTTCTGTGAAATTATGGGCTCATCTTGTGCTGAGTAAAAACCCTGATTGACAGTGCTGAGTGTTACAAAAATGACAAAATAAATGATTGCTTTAAAAACATTATTTTAAAAAAATTAGCATTTAACAAGAATGGGATTAAACAATTAAATTAAATACTGCCAGATAGTATAAGCAATGAAGAAGTTTGAAGCTTCCAGAGCCTCTGACCTAGCTCACCTGCCTTTCCAGGGGCTCATGTCTTCTAAAGTTCATCTGTTCAGGGAAAGGGGAGTATGGTTGTGCAGGAAATAGGGCAGGTTAGGAATTCACAGATGCTAGAGTTTTTACAGGCTTTTACATCCTATTTGTGCTCACTCTTTCCACAGCCTGGAACAAACTGTATTCTCGCCAGACAGGGCCAGGCACTGCTCATCTATTAAGGACTGACGCACTTCTACCTTCCTCCTTGCTTCTTACCCTGACATTCCCTGGCACTGTAGTTTATCATCTGCTTTCCTTTACATTCACAGGAAAATTCAGGTATATAATAAAGACTATTCGATGTTTATGAAATGAATAAATTAGTGTTCACTTATACAGAGCTCTGAAATATTACATATTACTAACTGTTTTCCCTTCAAAAGAGGCTCCTTTCACCTGAAATGTAATGGAGAGTGATTATGGCTAGTCTCAGTTTCTATACGACTTCTGCAGTAGTCTGAACAAATGCGTTTTCCCAGTTAGGATAATGACCAGTACGACAGAGTATCTAAAGCTGTATCTAAAGCTGGAATTCGCAAATGTCCTTTTGGAACAAAGAAATATATGTTATAATAATATTTATCCAGTCCCATGATCCAGAAAAAGAAATTCCTCACCACAACCACACTTTTCCAAAACCACATCCTCATGAGCATGGGAACATCATCCGGGTGCAGCTCAGGAATCAACCTGAAACACTGAAAGAAAAATTTGCTGTGCTCAGTAACAGAGTCTTATCATGTTGAAATAAGAAGATGCTGTGTATGTATGTGTGTGAGTGTGTGTATGTGGTGGTTGTATATATTTTTGTGTGTGTATGTGTGTGCACACGTGTGTTTTCTCATGGAGATTCATCCACATGAAAATAGTTTCTTTTTGGATTGCATTACTGAGGCCCTGGGTCACTGAAGGAGCTCATAGGCACTTCTGGGGAGTGATGGGAAATGTCAGACTACTCAATCTGCCTAGGTTATAGCTGATGGGTTGCTTATTTCAAGACTTTTTATAAATTCAGAACTAAATATGTAAAACCTAAAAACTCCCTTTATAAAATGCACTATTTAAAATTTGGTAATAATGACTCTAAATACTAAATGTGAAGACACATGTATCTTATAAATCAAAAGGAGATTTTAAATATGTTTCCAAGATCATTCTGCTGGATATCTTCACACTGTTTAATTGTATGCCCTGTCTTAGTCAGGCTCCTCTCTTCCATCTTATTGTATGAATTGCAATGACGTAACAACTGTTAATTTTGCAATCAAAATCTTGGTTAACGTACCCTATTGTCTCTGCTTGCTAAGGGAGGATTTGAAGATTAACCCTAAATCAGCTTATCTGAGAAAGCTTAGAGAGGGTGTATGTGAGAGGGTGGGGGTTGAAGGAGCAGGATGTAGGGGTCTCTGTTACTGACTTGGCCAATCAGAGCTCATCAGGTCAGAAGGTGGAAATCTCTGAGACTATGGATCTCTAGCCACTTGGAGGTGCTGTATCTCTGCAATGCTGCAGGGAACCCTGGGGAGGGGAGGGCAGGTGACCCAGAAGAGGAAGATTGAAGGGAAGGCCTGGATACTTGCTAGCATCAGGTGGGGGCCTTTTGAGTTCAGAGTGGGTTCTGAGTTAAACACAGACTCCTCACTGTCCAGGGAGGGGTAGGGGTGCGAGAGGCCTCAGTTTGTGCCAATGAGGGAATGTCTCTGTGTCTGTCTGGCCAGGGAGGGTGAAGGGGCTGGGGCATCAAGGACTTGGGAATCAGTGTCAGGTCAGGGACAGTGGTGGGCAGGTTAAGGTGTGACATGGGCGTGTGGACGCTGTGCTCTACCTGCCTCACCTTTAGTTTCAGTGCCCTGCAGGGCAGGAATGGTACATGGGGTAGCAGAGCCGGGGGCCTGCCTAAGGGTACAGTGGGCAAGGGATGGCCTGCAGAGGAGGTAAGTGGAAAGGCAAGTTTACTATGGAAATGCTAAAACATTCCTGCCCCCACTCAGAAAAGGACCATGGATGGGATGCTGGCAGCCAGAGGGGCTCAGGATCTGGTGATCTGACAGGCGTTTCCCAGGTACGCTCTGCTGCTTCTGTTGAGATCTATTTTGATTCTGACAGAAATCATGCAAAATAAGTATTATTTTACCTGTTTATGCACTTGACTGAGACAGATTTCCTGGGCTCATATACCCTTAGGTGGAAGAAGCCAGGCCTGGCGTTGGTAGATCGGTAGTAGTGTGACTACGGTCAACATCAACCAATTCTGCATTTCAAAATACTGTAGCTAGAAGAGAATCATTCAAATGTTCCTAAGGTAAAGAAAAGACAAATATTTAAGATGATGCCTATCCCAGTTACCATGATTTGATTTTATGAATGTACCAATGATCACATCTACCTAAAAAAATACGTACATCTAATATGCATCAATAAATAGTTAATTGAAAAGAAGATAACTGGCTGAAGCCTGTTCCTCCAATACTTCTGTCCCCGTCCCCACGCTGCAGATTTGTTCTCTCACATAGTCTTCCCTTTCCAGGTCTCCATTAGCAGGAGGAGAAAGTCGTGCATCATATGTGATCATTATACTCTGCTGAAAAGTCCAAGGAACTTTTGATGATTCCTTACATGAAATTAACTAAAGAATGTAGCATACATATCTGAATTAAACGAATTTTTTTAAATCTTTCTCTTTAGTTACCTACCTCCTTTTACCAGCTTTTTTAAAAAAATAGTGAAACATTTAACATGAGATCTATCCTCTTAACTGGCTTTTAATCATACAGTACAGTATCATAGTCAGTAGATCTCTAGAACTTCCTCATCCTGCTTAATGGAATTTTATACCTCTTGATAGCAACTCCCCATTTCCCTCAACCCCTAGCCCTTGGAAGCCAATTGTTGTAGTTTTTACTTGCTTGACAATTTAGGTTGCCTCATAAAAGTAGAGTCGTGCAGTATTTGTCTTTCTGTGCCCGACTTACTCACTTGCCATAATGTCCTCCAGGTTCATCTACAATGCCACATATGGCTAGATTTTCTTCTTTTTTGACGTTATTTCCTTGTGTGTATATACCACATTTAAGGCCTGAGGCATTAAACTTATATTATTTGACTGTTTCTATAAAACCATATGTTACATGAGTGGCAGGGTCATTTGCAGAGCTGCAAGCTCTGAGTAAATAAATGGTTAAATTATGCTGCATGGAGAAGACCCAGAAAAAAAATCATATTTTCATCCTTTATTGTCACTTTACTATACACAAAATAGAAGTCCTTCACTTGCAAAATTTCAATTAATTAGTAATTCACCTGTCAGAAAAAGCTTTAAGACACAAATGCTATTCTCATTTTTACAGAGAGGAGAGAAGGTTAAATAACATAATCACATTATATGGCTATTAGGATGTAATGCTTGGGGTCCAACTCTGACTTGTCAGTTTCTTGTTCATAGCTCTGTGCTATGAGACATTTTCATAAAGAGAGATGCCTACCTTTCAAAATCAGAGTATTTGCTTCCTATATCCTATATCCCTTTTAGACCTGCTGGCTCCAACATCATAGACAGAGATGAGTTTACCTGAAGACATTGTAGGGAAAGGACTCTGAAGGGATGCCATGGCACCCAGCCCCGACTCCCATTCTAACACCAGCTCGTCACTACCTGAGACCAGCTCTTGACAGGTTCGGCTAAGTTTGTTTTTTGTTTCATTAATCTATAAAATGAGACTAATACAGTCCATCTACAGGGCTGCATACAGAACTTAGTATTATAAATATCTAGCCTATAATAGGAATCTAAATATCTTGATTCCCTTTGTTAATCTCAGACAATCTCTTCCACATTCGCCATACACAAAGGCAGATTCAGATAATTCTGCCCCGAAATGTTAAGCTGAGAACTTAGAATTCACAGAAGTGAAAATATATGTACCTGATGATTCCTTACATGAAATTAACTAAAGAATTAGCATACATATCTCCTCAGATATTTAAAAATCAACTTTATTAACATATACATAACATTACACATTTTAAATGAAGAGATCTGTGATTTTGGAGCAACATATATGTATAGACTCTTCTAATCCCCACCTCTATTAAGATGTCAAACATTTTGATCAACAGAGAGTTTCCTCACTCGCCTCTGGAATGCCTCTCTCCATCCCTGACAACCAGTGATATTTATCACCAGAGAATAGTTTTGCTCAGGAATATTTTTAATGGAAATGTACAATTTCTAACTATTAAAACACTTCCACTCTACCACACAGGTAAACATTCAAGACAGAGAGACGCTTCTAAAGATATTTATGGGTATGCCCATCAATGATAGACTGGATAAAGAAAATGTGGCACATACACTTCATAGAATTCTGTGCAGCCATAAGAAAGAATGAGATCATGTCCTTTGCAGGCACATGGATGAAGCTCCAAGCCGTCATTCTCAGCAAACTAATACAGGAACAGAAAACCAAGCACTGCATGTTCTCACTCATAAGTGGGGGTTGAACAATGAGAACACACGGACACAGGGAGGGGAATGGCATACACCAGGGCCTGTTGGGAGCTGAGGGAGCAAGGGGAGAGAGAGCATTAGGACAAAGACCTAATGCATGTGGGGCTTAAAATCTAGATGACGGGTTGATAGGTGCAGCAAACCACCATGCTGCATGTATACCTATGTAACGAACCTGCACATTCTGTACATGTGTCCCAGAACTTAAAGTAAAATTAAAAAAAAAAATTTAAAGGTATTTATGGCTTTAGAAGGGTTTTGAACGCTTTCAGAACCCTGAGAGATACCTGATTCACGTTAGGCACAATCCTGTGGAGACAGACAAGATGATGGAATGACACCAAAACTTTTCCCCCCTGGAAGAGGCTGCTTCCACATAATTTGTTCACTCATTTTCATTATTTTTTCTCATGCACTCATTCACTGAAATTACTTTATAACGATATTCTGACAAAAATTAATCATCTCTAAGGACACTATCTTGAGCTTCCATCAGACAACATTCAGCTGTGATTTAGCTCTGCTTCCTGAGCACATAGAGTGCACTGGGGCCAAGCGAACCATGGGCAATGGTGACTCCACTGAGAGATAATGTCATGTTGGGAGAAGGGTTCTCTCTTCCTTGACCCCAAGTGTCCAACTCATAAAACCTCAGCCTTGAGATAAAAAAATTCCCCTTTCTGTTCTGGCCCCGCCTGGGCACCAAGCTCTTTTGCTGTGTGTCCCTCTGTTTTCTGGGCCTGAGAAATCATGGGCACATATATGGCACCCACTCACGGGCTTGTTGGACTCCACCTGGATAACAGCACCAGGTGGTCCTTTGCTGTGACTTTAACTTTTGTATTCTTCTCTCCAAAGTCTCACTGATGCTGAGTGACCCAGACCCTGGTCATGTGCTTGTGCTAAAAAGGAAAACAGTACCTGGGGACGTGAGCAGAATATAAAACAAAATTATGTGCTCAGAACCAGCCATACAACCTATTGGCATTCCCTTTATTCAAACATTGTTAAGAACTTGAAGAACATGACAATGTTATACTGAATGTGGCGCCCTACTAAGTGTGGGGCTCTGTGCACCAAGATATGTTATTTGAGCTCCTTTTTATTTAGTACTAAATAAATGGCAGGAATCTTGCACGAAGGCATACTCCCTGTGAAACATGACATCTCAAATAAAAACAGAGCATTCTTCTTTAAAGTCTGCCCTTTCTCCCCAAGTCCCTCACACATCAGGCCATCTTTGTCCCTGGAGGTCATGAGCAGTGCTAGGTGACCACCATCGTCCACACGGAGAGGACAGTCAGCAGTGTGAGGTGGTTCTACCTGCTATGATCTCACCCCAGGCATGGAAAGCAAGAGTCCTGGGTGGAGCTGAAGGTGCTCAGCTGGGCTTGTCAGGAGTCCCATCTGTCAGTGAGTTGACAAGAAACAGAGCAAAACGACTCCTCCAATGGTGATGAGCCTGCCCCTGGGATTTGGAAACTTGGTAACAGAGAAAACCAAAATAGACAAAGGATTTTTAAATAGGATTATGGTCAATTAAGCAAATTAGAAAAGGAAACTTGAAGGAGTATTTGGGATACAGGAATCAAAAACACCAGGAAGACACGAGGAGTTTCCCTAAGAGTCTAGACTACAGCACTATGTAGATAACAAACACCAGAATATTAATTATATCATTGAAGAAATACAATTTACATTGAATTACAAACTGTTTACAAAATGTCATGAAAATCTTATAGGTTTGTTTCAATTCAGACAAATGTGTTCTCATTTTCAGCTGTTCACTAGTGCATTTATTTTGAAGTTGACTATCTGGAGAAGAGGCGTGGCCTCTCCTGACAGGAAGGCTCTGGGGCCCAGGCAGGGAGAATGAGGTCTCAGAATGACTCCCTTGAGAGCCCTGTTCCCCGTTCATCAACACACAGACCCAGAAGACTCCTCTGTCCTGCAGCACCTGCCATGAGCATTAGCCTCCTGTGCTGTGCGGCCTTTTGTCTCCTGTGGGCATGTGGGTCCTGGGAAGGGCCCCTTGCATGGATATCAAGGCCCAGAGCTTTCCCACTGGGGCTGCAGCATTGGATTTCTTCTCCTTCTTTGCAGGTCCAGTGACTGCTGGTGTCACTCAGACCCCAAAATTCCAGGTCCTGAAGACAAGACAGAGCATGACGCTGCAGTGTACCCAGGATATGAACCATGACTACATGTACTGGTATCGACAAGACCCAGGTATGGGGCTGAGGCTGATTCATTACTCAGTTGATGAAGGTACCACTGCCAAAGGAGAAGTCCCTGATGGCTACAATGTCTCCAGACCAAACAGAGAGGGTTTTCTGCTCAGGCTGGAGTCAGCTGCTCTCAACCAGACATCTGTGTACTTCTGTGCCAGCAGTGACTCCACAGTGCTGCAAGGCCGTCTCCTCTCTGCACATAAAGGCAGGGAGGCTCTGCCCTCCTCCCCACCCCAGACTCAGGGATGCCCTGGGCAGAGTCTCTGCACCAGGAACCGTGGAACCCCGAGTGGCCCGGGCAGTGTGAGCCTGGGCCTGTGCCAGGTGCCTCTGCAGGCAGTCTCAGCCAGGCCTGGACGGGTCGCAGGCCCTCAGATGTCTCCTTTGTTGCTTTCCCTGTTCTTTCCTCTAAGCTGTCCTTTTGGGGTGGGGCCACTCCCCAGCTCTTACTTTTTTTCTCATCATCCTGAGTCCGAGGCCCCCAAGATGAAGCAGGATTTGTATTTCAGATCCATCTTGACCAGTCAGTCAAGATAGTGGTTAAAAATAACCATTAGCTCAATTGTCATTCTCCTTCATTTAAGGTG